CAGCTGCTGTGAGTTTCCTTGAAGGAAAAAAGTGTTTCCTATTTCAATTTCGTATATCAGCCATTTGGAAATGAACTTTACACTCGCCTGCCTCTGGCGCCCCAGCAAAAGTATCTGTATCTGTATCTTAAGCTGTGGCTAAAGCTATTCCTGTAACTGTAGCTCTATAGATGTATCCTTTTCTTTTTATTGTATTACCGCGAGTGTTATGCTAATTTCCGTAGCCGGGAAGCAGCGGGGCTTGCCGCCCTGAGTCTGTGGTTCAGCCTTAGACTCATTCTCATCGTTCTCGTCGTCGTCGGCGTCGCATCTTCTGCAAAGTCCTGGGCCGGAAATGAAATTTAACTGAATTTGCATTGGAATTCGATTAAATCGTTTATGCAAACATTTCGTTTCATTTCATTTGCGGGTTTTTCGCTTTCCCAACGTTCGCCTGCGACTGTAACCGTAAACAGGGCCATGTGAATGTGCGAATCCTTTTTGCCTGCCTCCACGCTAAAGCCAAATTGTGGCCATGTCTCGACTCCACTTCCACTTTCAACTCCAGCTCCCCACTCATTTTGCGCCATTTGATTCTCTTCTTCTTGCTTAGCTCTTGTGGCATGGCAAAATTACATTGAAAAGCCTCGAGAGTTGATTTTGGCATTCATCTAATTTACATAATGCTCATATGTTTTGCCTGTTTTCGAGTTCTGCACGGCTCAGCACATTAAATGCTGTGGAAATGTATCTTGGCGCTTGTTATTTATGAATTAATTTCATTTCCCAAGTAAATGCATAAAGGTAATCGAGTAAGCGGCGGCCTAGCTCAATCATTTGCATAAAAATATGAAATTTTATTCAAAAATAAATAAATAAAATATGAAGAAAAAGTTAAGATTGATCGAAGGACATTTCTAAGAAGCACAATTTCGAGTTTTACAGTTGAAAACGATTTAGATGACAGTTTAAAGCCAGCAAAATGTTATATCTTATGCAAAATGGTTTCAATTTTGAATTTGAAGTATACAGGAAATATAACATACTTAAAGGAAACTTTTATATAATTCCTTAATGGTGTGCCACATGAGCTGCATTTTATTTTGCCGATGATTACCAAATGGCCAAGCTCGTTGCGTATGACTCGCCACATTGCATTCGCTTTTGTGGCTTCCTTAAGCTCGTTGGCCTTGCCGGAGTTTTATCTGAGTCCCCCAAATGGCATTCAAATGCAAACCGCATGAGTCGCATAAGGATGCGCCGAAGGCTGCAGCAATAAGCTGCAGTGGCAGTGGCAGTGGCAGTGTGGCACTGTGGCAATGTGGCAGCAACCTACTGCGGTCATACATTGTCTCTCGCTCTGCCTCTTTCCCTCTCCATCTCCATCTCTCTCCTTCGCTGTCTCTCTGGAACCCATTTGCCACAATGAGCTACCAAAAATGGAGTTGAGCGTCAAGGGAAATGTCTGTTTTATTGCGGTCCATGAAACAGTTCATAAATAAGCATATGCATGCGAGTCTATGAGTGTGTGTGTTTGTGTGTGTGTGAGTACACTCATACACTCATCCAGCATAGGTATGCAAAAACCTATTTATATCAACATAACCCGGTTTGTGGCTTATTCCCATATAAAAAGCATTGAAATTATATTACAATTGCATTCGGTCTATTTGTTTGTGCTTCGAGTTCGGCTTTTGCATTTGCATGCCACAAAATATGTTTGCCCTGTCTCGTAATAACTCATAAAAGCGCTGCAAATTGAATATGAAAAAAAGACCATGTTGCAAGCGCCAACAAAATGGTGAAAATTGAAGCGCATTAAATATTTAAGCACAATTTGAAAACTCTATTAACACCCTGCGAAAAGTGTACAATGCGAACAACAGTGTCTGCGAAAAGTTTGCGCTCACTTATAAATCATAAAAATTGAAATCACAAGACAAAACTTGTCCATTATCAACATTAGCAAACGAAATTTTCGCCCTTGTTCCACGCCGGGCCGCAACCAACTTTTATACATTTTACAACAAATTTAACTTTAATTTGGTAATTTAGCAACGCCCGCGGCTGAGCAGCTGAATGCGAATGAAAATCTATGAAAATGAATGACTGAATGAATATTCAATTTGTATTCGTTGAATTTCCCGCTGAGCACTTGGCCAGCGGGCGCAGTGAAAAGTTGAAAATTCAATAATGGATAACCTTCAATTTACGTGAAAAACTTTTCATTTCAGTTGAATTGTGGAATCAGTTCAAGTTTTAAAGTGACTTTGTTATATGTCCGATATGAAATATTTTGACTTTTCTTTATATTTATTTAAATAAACTACTTTAAACAAGCTTTTCTTCGTATAGTATAGATTTTTTTCAACGTGATTGCCGAATTTTAACTTATAAACTTATAAATGCCGAGTTTGTCCAAGATATCTTGATAATCAAAAAAGTTTTCCCCATAAGAACCTGATATGACATTGTGGTCGGATCCGGCCAGTTCCGACATATGCACTGCCTGTAACAAAAAGAAAGAAACAGACAGATGGACGGACAGACGGACATGGCTGTATCAACTTAGTAATGCTAATATAGAGTACAATACTTAATGTTATCGGAGATGTGTCCTTCTATGCGTTACACGTTTCATGACAAAATTATAATACCCTCTGCAAGGGTATAAAACGAATTTTAAAGCCCAGCCAAAATTATATATTTATATATGATAGATAGATAGATATGATGAATAGATAGATAGTTTTCAGACATAAGTCAGTTTTAAAGACCAACTCATGCATTTTAAATTTAATTGAATATATTTTCACAAATATTTCTTCCTATTTGCATGAGATTGTCTGGTTCCCAAGGAATTCGGCAATATGCTAAACAAAAGCTGGTCACTTGCATTGATTGACCCATGCGCGCTCTATCTATGCAATCTTTGACATTTGCCATGCTGAATTTCGCATCCATATTTTACATACCCGCACCAATTTTCGAAAATCAACCAATTCCCAGAATGAAAAAATATAAAAAAGAAATAGGGCCTGGCTGTAGAGCCCAATCCAAAAGCGAAACGTGTAGCCCATAAATTTGGAACTCAGCCCCCGCTCATTTGCACAGAGGATTAAAGGGTCTCGTCGGGGTTTTGCACTCTCACCATTTGTTATGCCTTTGCGCTGGGTTTTGCTTTTCCAATTTTTCTCGTTTTCCATTTCCCTCCCATTTTTCTGGCACTGCTGCTGCTGTTGTTGTTGTTGTTTGTCCTAGCGGAAAGCTTGCAAAAGTGATTAATGCAAAAGTCGGCGGCCGCGTCGATGGCGACCAACAACAAATTTGCCAACGCGCATAGAAAACACGACGCAACGCCGGCATTTTTATTGAATTGCCAGCCTCGGAATGCGCTGGCCACTCCATTTACCTGCGCTGCCTGAATAAAACTAGACACTCAGAGTGAATTTCCTAGTGCGAACGGGGGCTCGGCTGGGGTCCGGTCTGGAAGTATGCTTTGACTACAGTTGCACGGATTAAAGCACAAAATGCCCCCAAATCCGCTTTGGGCAGCAAAGAGTATGCGGCAGGTGTGGCAGCAGTCGTGTTAAAGCCGCGCTGAGGTTGCATGCAACCGCAGCAGCGAATACCGAATATCCTTGCAAATCAATTATTTAAGACTTTCAACGAAATATACCTTTTAAGGTATAGATATATACATATATATATATATTTATATGAATATCTATACATATATATATTTTGTTTTTAATCAAAAAATTGTATTAAAGCGAATATCATTGAAAGTCTTTCTTCTTATATAAAAAATATATATTCTATATATAATATTCGTAACGATCGCTACTCTATAATATTGCATGACAAGTCGTCGAAGTTTAATATTTAAAGAACTTATTTTTCTTTTTTCACATATCAATTCTGCGATCAATCAATTATTGTTGTTAATTTAAATAGTTTTAATTTTTTATATAAAATATAAAACTTAAATATTATACAAAATTAATTTGAATTTTAATAGTACAATTAATACATCTAAATATTTTTGAATGACACTTTCGATTATCAACAATATAAATTCTTAATCAATTGGGATTTAAGCCAGGCTTTAAGACTTTAGGCCTAAGATAACAAGTTGTCGGATATAGTTAAAATGCCATTTGAAATGCACAAAAACGATTTTCAATAAATACGAAACGAGCCCGAGACAATAAAATGTCAAGAAACTTAGACAGTCAGCCACCCCCTTATAGACCAGGCACGCTCCAGGCCCAGTTGATGTTTACCAGAGGTGGGGTGCGTTATATTGGAGGTTGGGTAGCTGCTCGATTTCTATCAAGCCATCAAACTAGCAATGAGAGCTGAGTCCTGCTGCTGCTGCTGTTGCTGCCGGCTTAGTCGAAAGTCAAAAGACCGCCCGAGTGTCACTGACACCGAACCACCCCCGCTGGGTGGGGCGAAGTGTTCTGCTCGGCTTTCTACATTATTGATGGTAATTTTAAAACGTGCCTACAACAAAAATTTCACACATTTGCCGGATTTACAATTTGTGTGTGGCTTTGTTTTGCTTGCGTTCGATTGACGCTTATCTTAATAGACCAAACATATGGACCAGGCCAGGCCTCCTCCATTCCCAGGCCGTCGCCTTGTGGCACGTCAGGAGCAAACGTGTTGATAATTTAAATAAGCTACTTTGAGCGCTGCCGTTTGACATTGCGCATACGCAGCGTTTGCCTGTCGTCGCTGCGATAAGCCTTGGTAAATGTTTTTCGATTTTGTATTAATTTTGTGCTCAAATCCCAGCGAGATTTGTGATGCACACAGACAAGCGAATGTGCATGAGGGTTAGCTTCATTAAAAAAATATTTGAAATTTCTTTTGGCTGGGGAATTTGCAATAAACGCGATGTGGGCATAAATTGAAACAAGCTGCGCTCGGCTTCTGGTTGGCTAAATGTTTTTGCTTGAACCCGATTTTACATAAATGCCTTACATTTTTTGAGTCATGAATAAAATTTTTATTATTTTGTTATTTTTGAATAGCCAGCATATCTCTGAAATATGTACATTTTGTTTGGCAAAAGTGAACACTTTATTCCGGATGACTTACGCGGCCTGCGAGATAAACTTTTTGTTTGTCCCTGATAACAAATAGAAATGGATGATCCGCTTTAATCTGAGGCCAATTGTCGGATTTTTCTGAAATATTTGAAAATATATTATGGACATAATATTTATTAATAGATTCCAGTTACTCACCACGGTTATCTGAGGGCGATGCGCCCTTTTCATTCACCTCAACGACTGCTTTTTGAAAGAACTCGGTGATTTCCAAGGGTTTGTTTAAATCAGTTGTATCCTTTAAGTTTGCGTCTAGCGAACAATTTTTGTCCAAAGCGCGTAAGACATCTTTCAGCTTTATATTAGATTCTAATCGAAATTTCGGTAAGGTAAGCCGAAGACGTTTGATATATGCATCCGGCTCAAATTCTGTTGTCTGCAGTGTATCAAACATATCGACGACCTTCTGAATGCCATTAGTCGTTCTTGGCACAATAATAATCATATACATTGCACTTGGTATCGAGTATTTTATTTTGATAGCGTCAGCATCCAGTTGCTCCACATATTTATATGGAAAATAGCCCTCCCGACTCATCATATCCACCTCAACAGTACGCTCACCTCCATCTGCCAGAGGTATACGAAAGGGGGAACGCTTTGTGTGTACGCTATCGAAATCGAGTCTCCACAATCCGGTAAAGTAAATCGCGCTCATAAACAATATCTTTGAGTTGGGCTCGGTTTTCTCAATCAATTTAGTTATTTTGCTTTTAGTTGTTGCGGCAACCCAATCATTGATTTTGGAAACAGCCGCCGCGGAGTCTGCAAAGTTCACACTTTCAACTGGCGAGTTGTGAATTCTACCCAATTTTTCTCTATACTCTGGCATAATGCTAACATCCTCTGACACAAAAAGCCGATTGCCCACATACAGCTTAACGCCGTCACGCGAAGCTTGAATCGAATATGAGTTATTCATGAATCGCTCAAAAGCTACCGCATCCGTGACTTCAAACAGTTCCAGCAGCTTGTCCTTTGTCTTCCCCTGTCCACCATAATACAACTGAATCAAACCGTCTAGCACCAGGTAGGGCGACACGAGCACATTGTCGTTCCCGCTCTGACGTAGTACCTCAGCAATGATCGAGGGTATTATCTGCTTTGCGTAGACCGATTCGATAGCAATAAGGGCCGCAAACACAAAAACTGACAGAGTATAATATAACTTGACCATGTTGTATAAACTGTTATGACAGCATCGGGTTTGGATCTTTTAAAGTTTTAGTTGGCGATTCATTTGATTAGCGAAAAAACTGAAACTAATCAAAATTTTAACTCCCGTTTAACTGTATCAAATAAACATGACGAACTATATACCCTTTCCCATATTATTAATGAAGGGTAATTACCATTTGCAACAGTTATCAGTAGACGGTTTTTACCCCGTTGAGTATATATAATGCAGCAGAAAGTCGAGTTGTTCTGATGAAAAATTATAGAAACGCCTTTACCTTATTTTGTTAAGTTTTGATAACTGTCGATAGCACACAATAATGCTCATATAGAGCTGAGAGTTAATAATTTCCACATGTAGTTTTAAAACGCAATATATATTTTAAAAAAATTTTGTTTTCAACAATATATTCTTCAAAGTATAACTGGGTAAAGGGTATCTCCTTGTCGGTCACTCAAAATGGAGTTATTGATCTTCCGTTCAGCCAGTTGACACGGCCCACAAAATGAATATACTCACATTCCCTGAGAATAAATACAAAGGGGCGATCAACTTTAAACTCTTCACCGCGTTGTATTATCGCAGCTCCTGAAACAAAAAACAATTGTAAGCATTATTTATTGATTTCACTTGTTTTGTGCAATACAAACTTGCAGCAGCCGCTACTCTGGCTCCCCTTTGATTTACATCAACTGCGATTTGCTGCACCATGTCTTCGACTTTCAATGTTGTCTTTTGACCTTTTTGCCAATTTCGTGAAACTTGCGTTTTTAAACAAATCATTTATGCCCAGACTTTTTAGTGACTTTTTAAGACTAATTTGAAACTGAAGCTGAAGTTTTGGCATGAAGATGCTAACTTCCTTTTTGGGTCCATCCAGTATTAGGTCTTGTGTATCTATAGAAGCTAAATCTGTGACAAGCTTTTCAAGGTAGTAACCCTTCCTCGGCTTAATAATGAGCATATCAAGACCTTTTTCCCAAAAAGGTATTTCTAAGACGTCCGCATTCAATTTTTCCATGTATTGTATACGATATTTTCCGACGTGGTTCATCATAGTAATCTCAACATCGCGCATGCGATCATTATGAAAGATTCCCTTCCTTGACTTCATTTCATTAAATCTATATTTCCAAGTTTTTTTGTAAGTGACCACGCTGATCGTCATTATTTTCGTTCCCATATTAATTTGATCGACCAATTTCGTTATTTCGTTTTTCGATTTCTTTGCTACCCAATTATTTATAATGGACATGGCTTTCTTGGTGTCTCCAAAGTTGACTTTTTCAACATCCGGGTTAGGCTCGGTAATAACATCCTTGTCCATAAAGAAACGCGTTGCCGATGTCACACTTGGATATTCATCCCAAAACTTGCTAGTTATTCCAGCCTGTCTTTTCAGCACATTTCTTATTTCGTCAGCCGTATTGCCACTGGCCCACACTAACATTAGTCTCAAGGCGTCCATAACCAGCTCGGGCGAAACGATTACAACATCTTCAAATCTCCTCTGCAACGCGGCCGAAGCAATAGTCGTGGACACCTTTTCCGCAAAGATCAATTCGAATACACCCATTGCCAGCAGCACAATCTTCAAAGCATTTTTCAATTTGACCATTTCGAGAGGGCTGCGTTAAGAGCACTGCGTCGACCTAACGTAAGTATATTTGTAATCATTAAAATTGTTAAGCTATGCACTTTTAATTTGATTAGTTCTCAATTTGTCTCGCCTATTAATAACTTCGCACCAAACCTTTAAAATGCTTTATAATGCCAAACTCTTAATAATAGCTTTATTCTTTAGCAGTTCATTATTGTCGTATAGCAGTAGAGAAATTATTCGATTCTATGTGGGTGTTGTGTAAATTGTTTATTTTATAGACACAACAGAAATAGCACAACAAAGAACTAGTCGAGAATTGCAAGCGTGAAGTATTGAAAAAGCGAAGTGAGAATAGCAGAGCCCATTTTATCTGCGCTCAACTCATGTTGAAACTGCCTTTGAAAGAGCTTTGCGCCTTTTCAACAAAACAGCGATCAATTTATTTATACATGTCAAAAGTCAAATGGAGAGTTTTGTAAGATAGGTGTATAAAGCACATGTTGATTATTATAAATTAGAAATTATCGATTGTCTGGAATATTGAGCAGAGCGAATTGGCAGAAAACTGCTGACTTAAGAGCTCGTTGAAAGTATAAAATATAAAGTTTAAGGTACAAAGTATAATAGTTAATGAATATTGTCATGGAATGTATGAAAAACCCATTCTGACAAATAAATGCGTATTGTAGAATACAGAAACTTATTCTAAATAATGATATCTTCCAGCGGAATCTGTTACTATTAGAACTCTTTACTCCTTGAATACCGCAACGCCTTCTTATCGTAACACAATCAATACTAGAATATAATTCATTTAGTTTTCGGAAATGTTTGCTTCTCATATTTAAAAATACGGCACCTTTGTATACGCTGCACACATTTCATTATTCAATTAAAAAATACATAATTTACTAAAATTTATTAAAGAAACAAAATGTCAAAGATGCCGGGCTGCAAGGACTCTACGCATATGTGCAATTTAAGCATATTAGAGCAGCAGCAGGACATTGGCCAAGGGCCAAGCACGGACCCTGGACGAGAACAACAAAAGAGCAATAGAGCAAAAATCAAATCAATTTTAATTTAGAAAACAAGCAAAAACGCGTCAGAAAAATGCGAAGCCAAGCAAAATGTTGGGCAAACGTTAAAAGGCAAACAGGACGTCAGGACAACAGGACAACCCAGGAGCTGGGAGCAGCAGCCGAGCTGCCAACCCTTCGAATGTCTTGAAAGATAAAGAACTAACAGCCAACCCCAAAATGAGAACAAACCTGCCGGTACCCCGCTTCCCCCTCCCCCTCTTCCACACACAACAAGCAAGGCAAACAGTGTGCTTAGCATATGCGCATAAATCTCAGCCTGGACGCAGGGAAGCAGGGCGGCAGGGCGGCAGGGAGTAGTTGCCAAAGGGGCAGAAGGACTCGAAGGGCCACCCCAATACAAACTGGGGCGATTCGCCGGGTCGTCTGCTTCAAGACGACAGCACAATCTAATAAAATGGCTAAACGCTTCAATGACAATTCGAGCATGTAAAGTACGCACACACATTCCGGGGGGAGGATGGAGGCAGAGAGCTGGGGCAAGACACAGAAAAGAACGGTAAATACATGTTGCATGTGGCGCTTAGCCGTGTCGTACAAGCGCCATCAGACAGCGCCTCGCCCTCTCCGCGCCCCAGCAAAAGTAGGCAATAATCGTAAGTGAAACTGCGTTCGCTTGCCGGACAAGAGGGATTAGATTGGGGCTGAGGCGGGGGTCGGTCAGTCACCAGCTGCTGAAGTAACCCCCGTTCCACATCCACACTCGCCCCAATCAGCTCTTGTATTGAAATGCGCTTTAAGTTGTGGCGCTGTGTAATTGAATTAAATGGATTTCAATATGCGGGCGCATGTTTCCCAAAGAGGCTGGGGGGAGTCAGATTTGCCTGGCGCTGGGTTGGCCAAGGGGCAACAAGGGGCTGCTTGGAGAAATGTACATGCATAAACAGCTGCCGGAGATCAAAGTCACTTTGGCCATGCGTAGGAATACATAGAATGTTGCAGAACTTAAGCTTATTATAATATTAAACTGGGAAAAAGAAAAAATAGAAATATATCAGAAATAATTAAACTTTAGTTTTGAATACAACATTTACTTAGGCATCCCATCAGGGGGGAAAATAAATCATGGCATCACATAAAAGGACTTTAACTCTAGACAAGCCTTCGATTTATAAACAATTAATCATTTTAAAACTTATATATCTTTTTATAATTACAAAATAATTACAAAAAAAATTTATTGAATATTACAAAAAAGCTTTCTATTTAGCAAAGCTTACTTATACTATAAAACTTACTTAAAGCTAAAAAGCTCTCTTAACTAGCTTTAATTTTGGAATACGCCAGGTTCATTGCACTATCTAATATATATTTGAATTACCTATAATTTAAAATGTATACAGCACACAATAAAGTTTACTTTAAGAATATACAACATAGTTTACTTATACAATAAAACTAACTTAAAGCTTATTTAACAAGCTTTTATTGAATGTCATTCATCAAGAAACATGGATATAGCTTATACTAAGATTAAATAAAATAAGAAAGATTTCATGTTATAAAAAGTTTACAATGATTTTTACCCCATATAATGCTTATGTATTTACAAAGAAATTCTTAAGCACTTTCCTTTTAATCATGAAATGGATTTTAAATTTGTAATCTTATTTTTCTGCCCTGCCCGTTGTGAACGCTGTGTTGACCCCTTTTTAAGGCTACCAGAGCTAAGAAACAGGTAGCTCATGGGTAAGTTTGGCAAGTTTGTCGGTGGAACTTTAAGACTCATTGCGAAAAGTTTTGGCAACATGCAAACTTCAATCAACACCAGCAAATATCAAGCTAGGAAACCTCAAGACAAACTTAACTGACCAACTGTCCCGCATTGTGTAATTTTTCAACTTGAGACCAACAAAAGATAACAAAAACCAAAAAATAGAAGAGAGAAACTTTTTGTGACTTCTTATCGTTTTTTCGGTTCCTTTGGTCGTTCATTGTTTTATTTACCTGCCCGCCAGGTTGTGTGTCTCTCGGTGTGTGTGCTTATTTATATCGCATGATTGAATCTTGGCCAACAGCAACTTTTTCTATTAACTTTAATGCCAGCAGAGACCAACCAGCAGCAGTACCAACTATGTGGCTATAAGTCTGGAACTGTCTGCCTTGGCGGGTTTTTGTCTGGTTTTGTCTAGGCAGCGTCCGCTTCACCTGCGAAATGGTCGCCTCTTTAGCTCGTAAATGAACTTGATTTTATCGTCAGCCCACTTTTCCTCCTCTCAATGTGTATTGATTTCCAGTGGCTTCCACTTGGCTGCTTCAACTTCCTCAAGTGGTGCCTTGTCCTGGCGTTACATTGTTTTTATGCCACGATTTCGGTTCGTCTCCCTGCGCTAATGAAAAAGTTCAAAAGTCAATGTTTTTTGACTTTTCATTGGCTTCGCTCTTCCATTCCTTTAGAAGTTTCTCCCGCTCTCTTGCTGTCCTGCTTTTTATGGCAATTTCAGTTCGAGTCAAGCGATTGCCCATTATTGATGACTTGCAAGTCGCGAATAGCTCAAGAATAGTTCATTAATCGTTGCCAACTGAATCGTATCCCTTAAACGTTCACTTCCAGCTATAATATAGGGCTAAGTCTTGATATATGGGGTCATAAATTAATTACATTCCTAGAAACACCTTTTGTTATCTGGGGATTATAGATTTCAGCTGTGAGACTTCTCAAATATATGTAAAAGTTGGCTTAAGACTCGTTGAATAGATTTATATTGTAAAAAAAAGATTGCTTCTCAATTTGTTTGAGGAAAATCAGTCCTACAATTTTTTAATACTTTCTTAATTGATAGAAAAGTTTAATTATTGCATTAAAAATTGGGAGACGAAGACCCAATATTAATGTACATTGTCAAGGGTTAAATATATAATATATAATAAATAATAATAAATTTAATTTAATTTATTTAATTTTTTCAATTTCAGCTATCTTACATTTTAAATAAATTAATTTTTAAAATTTTAGCATATTTAGCTGAAATTTAATCTTTTCCACATTCTAATAATTCATTTTAATTAAACAACCTTCAGCACATCTTTGAATAATCCATTGAAAATGTCTTTAAAACTCATTTTGGAGTAAATTACATAAATTGCTCATTAACTGCAATTACACACATAATTCTATCTCACTTGTGAGCACGTGTGTGTGCGTGTGTGTGTGTGTGTGTGTGTGGGTGTGCGGTTGTGTGTCTTTGGTTGTCTGCCAATGTAAAATATTGGCATTGTACGACATGCTCATTAATTATGCTGCATATTGCAGTTTATCAACACAATCGTCGACTTGACAACATATTTACCACACCCCTTTCCATACACCACCTCCCCCCTCACACATCGTCACACAGCCGCCCTCGTCGTATTGCCCATTGAAGGACTCTCGCCTTGAATTGGTTGTACTTGCATTTAATTTATAACCCGAAAAGCCCAAAGTTATACATTTTAACAGGATATGAATAAAGTTGAAGACAATAAAAGCAAATAAAACAGACAGACAACAACTCGACAGGCCAAACTTTGCGGCAGCGGGGTGTGTGGCAGTGGGTGCAAGAGATTCATTATCTAGCACAACATTTATAAGTGTATGGCAACTGTCTGTGGCACTGGATGAGAGTATGTGACTTCCTTCAACATGTCTGTCTGTGCGGCTGTGCGGCTCTGCTGCTTCTCCCACCAGTTCAACGTCCCTTACTCCACCATGCGTATGCGTATTTAATGAGCAGACGTGCGTGCCAAGTCAGCTTAGGCTAAGAATCGCCCAGAATTTCCCCCAGCTTCCTTGAACCGAACCGAAAATCCAAAACTCGCAGCTTGCCGGCGCTAGGTGCTTGCGGGGAGTGCAGCCGGAAAACGCAAGTGTTGGGCATGTATGTGGGCAATGTGTGGGTGCAAATACGTGAAAATGCCAAAATTAAACCAAAACTTTTCATGCTTCATCGCAGCTGCA